AAAGATCTTTAATTTCTACTTTTCTTTCTTTCGTATCGACAGATTCGTCTCAATGAATAACTGAACTTAACAATATACAATATATAGACCTACACTATGCTCCCTTTACTTATGGTAAAGCCTGTATCCTCAAAGCATGCAGGTTATTTCACACACTGCGTTTGATTTTACGTAATCATCATATAAAGGAAAGGGAACCAATGAGATCGGGATTCGAATTTGATCTCAGAAATACCTTATTTTCTTACAGAAAATATATGAATCATGCAGCTAATAAAATCACAATAAAATAATGCTACAATAATATTATTCTTAAGTTAAATTATAAAAAAAATCACATCAAATTGTATATATATCGTGATGACGTGAAATCAAACATGGTGTTATACCAGACTAAAGTTAGCTCATTTTATTAGGATCCCCCTACCTCTAAAACCGTTTCTACTGCAGCCACTTCACCTTCAAATAGCGAGTTCATATACACCCTCTTTTCCTCCACATCATTCTCGCTTGGTTGTAATTGGACGGATACAATATACGGTATTTAACCAGATAAAAAAGTAGGGTGTAATATTAAAACCTTCAATAATCAAGTCAGGTTTTATCTTAAAGCTCTAAGTAAACAAGTCAAGTGTAATATTAAAGCCTTCAGTAAACAAGTCGGGTGTAATTTTAAATCCTTCAGTAAACAAGTCGGGTGTTATGTTAAACCCTACAGTAAACAAGTCGGATGTAATATTAAAGCCTTCAGTTAACAAGTCGGATGTAATTTTAAAGCCTTCACTAAACAAGTTAGGTGTAATGTTAAGGCCTTCAGTTAACAAGTCGGATGTAATCTTAAAGCCTTCAGTAAACAAATCGTGTGTAATCTTCAAGCCTTCAATAAACAAGTCAGGTGTTATCATAAAGCCTTCAATTCATGCAGCTAATAAAATCACAAATAAATTAATGCTACAATAATATTATTCTTAAGTTAAATTATCTAAAAAAAAATCACATCGAATTGTATATATATCGTGATGACGTGAAATCAAACATGGTGTTATACCAGACTAAAGTTAGCTCATTTTATTAGGATCCCCCCACCCCTAAAACCGCTTTTACTGCAGCCACTTCACCTTCAAATAGCGAGTTCATATACACCCTCTTTTCCTCCACATTATCCTCGCTTGGTTGTAATTGGACGGATAAATTATATTAACCACTATGCGCCTTACATTATCAACCCCCTCCCCCCACTTCCAAATAAACTGTACCAGATCGTCTTTCCAATAAATTTCTATTACACATAATTTAGAAAAATGAAGGAGAAAATAGCATATCATGTAAAACAGTTTATCATTGATTGACTGATTTTTGCTAAACGCCGAGTCGGCAAGATTCCAGCCATTATCGGCGGCAATTTTTTATCTGTTGCATGCAGAATACATGTAGTTGTTAACCTTGACATAAAGGGAACTTTTTAAGGTTCCATCCGACGGACTGTAATTTCAGAAATATGTAAACCGTTAAAAAAAATTCTCTGTGTTCATCAACAAAATATTTCATAATGTAAGCGATTAAATCCCATTCAAGTAGACTTTAGCTAGGGACATATTTTGTGGCGGAAGATTTTTTTGACGAAACTGATCAGGTTTTCCCCTTTGAACTATAACAGTGCTTTTAATTTTGGATTCCCATTTTTCCATTGCTGGTTGGACACAAAGCTGTTTTTTTTGCAGTGAAATGTGTTATGTTGGATCTGAAATATCTATTAAATTATTTCTAATGAATTCTTTCAACAAAATGTCACAAATATAGTAAATATATTCTGAAAATATCGGGAAAAATTGAGTCAATTTTACGTAAAATTGACACTTTTTTAGTAATATCTAAAAATTTACATCATATACCCCCGCTTTTAATGTTCTTTTCTAAATATTCAAGACAACTTCAACCTATTTGATTAAATTCAGAAAAAGTTTAAGACTTTAACATTATTTTCTTGCTTATTAAATTTTCAATGCCAGAAAAACCACATCTGTTAGTGCAGAAAGGTCAAATAATTGAATATGCGAAGCAATTTAAAACTTTTTCTTAGTAATGATTTTAAAGTGTTTTTTTTTTAAAAACAGACTTAGTGTTCATTTTGTTTCATGCATTAATTGGATAAAAATATTTGAGGGAAAACGTCGAAGATTTGTTTTTTAATTACACACAAATTTCAGTTCAAAAAGGTCATATTAAATGTACTATAGCGCCAAAAGAAGCATATTGCCCCCCCCCCCCCCCCCCCCCCGTTTTTTGAATTGAATTTTAATTAAACTATGTATGTAGAAACTAACAAATATACTTGGTAAAAAAAGTTTATGACTTTAAATGTCATTAAAACAAGCACTTTGAATGTATTTTTGGTCAATGGCATACTTAAATATTCCCCAGGTCTATGCCAGTTTTTTTTTTCCCATGGGAATGAAACTTTATAGCATGTTAGAAAAAGAAAACCACCCATGTCGACTCATTTGGATATTTCAAATCAAGTTTACTATGAAACTCTAAAGACTTACAAATTGGTGCTAAATTTGCAATTTTTAAGGTGTAATATTGTATAATCGCATAAGTGAATTATTGGCAATTTTAAACGACAGGATTTCATATAATTGTTTTTTTTTTCTCAGTTACATTTATGTAAGAAAAAAACGTAATCTTTGTGTCTGTTCTGCCTGGACATCCCATTGCAATAAGACATCAACAATAATTTTTTTAAAAATATGATTAGTGACGTATAGTCTATTTTACGAATAAAAAAAGATGATGCTAATTCAACGTTAGATAATTCATTGATATACTCCTTTCTTAAGCAATTTTATTTTTATGGTGCTAGTCCATGAACTTTCCGAACAACCCTCTTATAAGATGCATCTTATACATAAAAGTCACAGAAATGTAAGCTTGTGATCAGTTTTTCAGAAGTGAAAACCATCTTAAAATTTACGAATTTCCAGCAGAATTAAGAAAACTTTGGAAACCACTCAACTTCTGCGTCCTCTTGCCTCTATTTAACTTTCAATCAAAATTATGGTTTTTTTTAACAAGAATAATTAACTGTTCTTTTAAGAGGTAGACCTTTGAAAAAGACAAATACGTTTATAAACCAGAAATTCAATGCTATATGAAAGACTTTATGTTGACCAAAAACTCCATAAAAATCTAACTATGGTATGCTGAATAACTTAGTGATTTTGTAGGTAAAAGCAATCTCAATGTAAAAGAAATAAAGTTGTCAATAACTTAATAATTTTATCCTTTATGAGAGTAAACGGACATTTTCAAACGTAGTATTCCATAAATAAATGATACAGTCAAACAAAACCGGATCTGATTTGTATGGTAATTAAACTAGATGTGTTTAAGACTCATTTGTGTGATAATTAAACTAGATGTTTTTAAGACTCATGGCGGAAATACTTCCCAACTGAGTACCCATTTAAATGCATTTGAAATATTCATGAGAAACCCACTCAAGATTCTTGATGGATAGAAAGAGGATAAATAATATTTTAGCTGCATTTCCTTTAATGTTTAGAACATTTAATTTTTCCATGAACGTCTGTTTCCCTTAGGAATAAAAACACACCAAACAAATTTGGATTGAAGTTTGATAAACAATTCATTAAATTCGACACACATTTTTAGAAACTGTTTATCAAAAGCTTTCCTCATGTTGAAACTTACTACAATCTTTATCAATATGTGAGGATTAACTTACTGTACATAACTCTCGTCTGAACGCATAGCAAATTAACTTTTACTTACCTATGTAGATTTACTTCGATGTAAATTTTTAAACATGAGCAAATTTTCGTCGTAGGAATGGGGTATTATTTCCAGGAATTGTTTACTTTATGTTTTTACAACTGATGGATACATCACAGTTTTCTTGTTGATTTTATATATATAGCATTTATCCAATAACTTCATACGTGTTATGTATTTATTTCATTATATTCTATAATACATATGAGATTAATCTGTATCTTAAAGACTGTGTATAATTTATAATGTATAATTTATCAAAAAAAAAAAAAACAATCCATAGTATATGATTCTCTTTTGGTCACACGATCCCTGCAAAAACCCTGGCTTTTTTCTTAAGGATTTAATTCTGAAAACTCACAATCCATCTTACATATTTAAAAGATAGCTAACGCAAAAACATTGTACAACATCATAACATAACAGGCATTAACTAAATCAAAAACAGAACACCTTTCATTGTTAAATTTTAAATTGCAATTTAAAAAAAATACGTTTATGAAAATTCATAACAATTCATATGAACTTCGATAAAATCGATACTTAAACAATAGTGAAATATAGAATACGTAACAGTTAGCCAATCGCTTTTCAGACATTGATTATGGTACGATATATATATCTGGCTGTTGAAAGACCATTTAGCAGAATTTCACAGATTCACGAGAACGCGGCAGATTTTGACGCAACAAAAAAAATGAACAATCAGTGGGTTATCACATTAATAGTAGGCTTCTTAGCTTTATCTAAAGCTACCTTTATTTCTAAGAAATATACAGCGAAACTCGAATTTAATGATAAGAAATCAAACTATGAACTTTTCGGGGAACACAATGCTCATTCCTTGATCGAGTGCGCCACAATCTGTCAAAGGGAATGCAGCTTCTTTGGCTTTAACTCACAAACGAGGAAATGTCGTACCCACAAGGAAAGTCTGACATCTGGGTTGTCTGATGAGGCCGGTTGGAGATACTACTCGGATAACGGTATGTATTTTTTTTTCAAATTTCATTCTTTTAGCTTCTTTGGTTTTTTTAGGTCCTTCTCGAGGGGACACGATTTTTTTTTATCAAGTTTCTTGTATTTTTTTTTTTTTTTTTTTAGATTTTTCTAGCATGCCCAAAGATTGCAAGGATCTTCGAGAAAATGGACAAACCATCACAGGGGTGTATGATATATACCCCTACAGAACATTAACCATTTCAATAAGTGTCTACTGCGACATGACCACGATGGACGGTGGATGGACGGTAGGGGGTTTTTTTTATTTTATAATTAAAAGTACTTAATATAACACACCTTGTTTTGGTGGTTTTAAGGATTGTAGGATTGTATTGTAGTTAATATCATAACCTATGGATCGCATGATTGTTCGAAGCAATGAATTGAATTGTTACGCATGTTAATTTTCAAAGGCAATTCAGAAACGCTTAGATGGATCCGTGACCTTTGACAGGAACTGGACGGATTATAAGAATGGCTTTGGTTCACCAGAACAGAACGTCTGGATTGGTAAGTGTAAATCGGTTTCAAATAAGAACTTTTTATTCCTTCAAAGTTTTATGATAAAAAAAAATCTTGTGGCAAGTAAAAAATTATAATGCGTAATAAAGATCTAAAGTTAAGACTAGGTAATGTGTGTTCTATGATATTCAGATATCGTGTTTAATTGATATTTCAAATAATAAAAAACAGAAAAGAAGAAAATCATTTAGCGACATGTTCTAATGAGATCAAATTTATCAAAATTGTCTACAGCTATGGAAAATAATTTGATTTTTCATTACGGTAGATTCATATAGATTTTAAAAGAATTAATTGTACTCGATGAACTTTTCAGATGAAATCATATATATCTTTATACAGGAAATGACATAATCCATCAATTAACAAAAGAAAACTCATCATCCCTTTATGTATCAATCACTCTCCAGAATGGTACAACGCTCTATGAAATGTACGACAGATTCTCTATCTCCAAAGAAGCAGGAAAATATCAACTCTTTCTTGCAGGACCCGCCAATGGAACATTAGGTCTGTGTATTTATGTTAAATTCTTAAAATTAGGTTCAAATAACGTATAGCATCATAATAATACTTTTCTGTATTGAAAGATTATAAAGTTTTTGAAAAAAAAAGAAAGATGTGTTTTTTTCTGATATTCTGTATACATTTTTTATTCCACTCTAAAAAAACATGTTTAATATTTCAGAGTTTCATTTGCAGATACAATTCATATATTCAGCAGATATTGAATTTGTTATTGTCAAGTAGATAAAATTTCTAATTATTCAATTTATGTACAAGGACAATTATGTTAAGTTTTTCAAACAAATAAATCCAATAATTACATTTGTTCAACATTGTTATTCAGCTTGGGTTTCCTGATAATTTTTGATAATTCACATTTTAACTGATACGGAAAAAAGTTTACAGAGCATGTAAGTCTGATTTTCAATGATTCACATTTTTTACTACTACGGAGTAGGAACTTTACAGTGCGTCATTAATCTAAAATGTCTTAAGGTTTGCAAAAATTTGATGATAAAAAAATTTTGATCGGATAAATATTCAAATTAAAAAAGCTTAAAAAGTCAAACTCAAAAGACCTCATTGCGTTTCACATTCACATTTATTCAATAGGAAATTTATCATCTTATAACATTCACAGATGCACCATATTTTATCTCGTTTTTAATGATTTACTTAGTATTGCATGTTATAACTGTTTAGAGACACGGTCTCGGAAAAATACTAATATTTCATTTTGTGATGCTTTCTTTAATTTCCAGTGACCTTTATCCCCCCCCCCCCAATAATACCATGCTTAAAAAGTGTAACACGTCTGTTGTTTATTGTTACACTAGAAAGGATGCTATGTGAATTTCGCAGGTTTTTCGTCTTGTATTATTTTTATCTCTCTTTACAAGAAACAACACTTTAAACTGCGTATCTCAGACGTACTTCATTATTAAAATTAATGTGATGTAAATTAATAATTAATATCTCTGTTATGAATTGTTTTTCTAAATCTGCAGGTGCCAGTATGATAGACACCGGGGATTCAAGGACTAAACTAAATAAATATTATCACTCTTTCCATCACATAAATAGAGGATATTCAATGTTTTGTAGTTGAATATGGAATTTATTTCACCAGTGGGACAGGATTTTTGATATTTTCACGAGTGCGAAGCACGAGTGAAAATATCAAAAAATCCTGTCTGACGAGTGAAATAAATTCCATATTCAACTACAAAACATTGAATTTTCTGTTTATTACATTTAAAAAAAAATCTTTGATTTTTCGTTTGCCTCTGTCTTTTTTGTTATACATTCATGGACTCGTGACGTCATAATTCAGCGGTTGAGACGTCATAGCTAAGAGAGGTGAAAACACTGTAAACATGAATTTGACAACATATTTTTGATAATTTTTACACTTTTATTCGCTGTCAGAATGGTTTATTTATTTCCATCTATCTTATATAAGGTCAAGGAAGTTATTTTTACAGCAATCTTCGTTATGAGAAAGGAAATCGAGAGTTTTCCCGCACTTCTGATATTCGTCACACTGTGACAGGATATCATTTTGATATCCTTTGACACTGTGACATGAGATCATTTTTATTCAATGAAAAAATGTAATAAAGCTGTCTATATTAGATGTGCCTTAGTATTATTATTGACAATTAGATTAAAAATATATATAAATTCATTATCTATGTGATTCCTTTTATTTAATTTTACAGGAGACTCCATGTTAGATACAGGTAATCCTTTCCTAGATCTGTCTGGGATGTACTTTAGTACCCCAAACAGAGACAATGACAGATTTAGTGATGGTCACTGTGCTGCTGACAGTTACCGTAGAGGAGGCTGGTGGTTTAACTGGTGTACCTATGCCTTCCTTAACGGTCAGTGGTCCCCAGAGTCCTGGTACAACCCATGGTATCCTACAGTGAATGATAGTACACAGATAAAAGAAACTCTCATGATGATCAGGCGTCGCTAGGTAAACATCATTAAATCTTAATATAACACAGTTTTTTTTTGTATTACTGTGAAAATTTCAGTTATAAATGTTTTGTTTTTTTTAAATACAAAAATATGCTATTATACATGTATCTGTGAAGTTTTAATAATTTTTTTTTAACAGACGAAAGATCATCCATGGATTACGGAAACCCTCAAGAGACGATTTTAAATCATTTTTTATCGCTGAGTTCTTTTTTTAAACATTTAACATCAAGTAACAAACTGTAAAAGAAGGGGGATTGAACTGCACTGTAAAGCGATACTGAATGTATCAAGTAAAAGATGTACTTTATATGTGTTGTATTAAATTTGAAAATAGAAATATTTCGTTCTTTTTTCCAAACACTGATAAGTGGAGATAACTGGACGGATACCTAGGATGTAGATTGATTTATTGTTAAACCTGTTTCATTGAAACCTGTCTAATCCGACACATGCAATACTCTTTACTGTGATTTCAGCCATTTAATTTCATTTGTCATTTTTGTGTATATAAAAAGAAAATGTCAAAATGTATATCTTGATACGACTAACCGGTTAATCGGTCGGAACGTTTTGCGGTTAACCGATTAGCAATTCTGCAATCGATTGCCATCCCTAGTTTAAACGACTATAAGTGATGGAAATTGGTGACAAAAAATTAAACAAACCTCAGACTCTCATTGATATTGCTCCAGAGGCTGACAGTAATGAATAATTATGAATTTTCACAAAAATATTATACTTGACCTTTAAAGCCATAGTTCATATGACCAAGGCTAAAATTCCAAATTCAAAATTGATCGTAAAAAAAAAGAAAAAAAAACTGTGAAATATGAAATTCATAGCTCAAACAAGTTAAAGGCTGTAGTCAGGGCTAATTGATTAACCACTTACAGATAAATTTAGGAAAAAAAAACAAACAAACGGACAACTGGACCGACCGTCCTTGGAAAATATATTTGCCCCTTATTTTTTGGATTACGGATAGAAATTAAAAAAAAAAACACTTTGTGCTAAAATGTTTGTTTGTTTGTTTGGTGGGAGGAGATCCCAGTCAGTTTCCTTGGGAAAATAACGAAACAATATAATGCACTGTATGTCTTTGTGTACATGCTATTCATAGTTTATTTAAAACATGAGGATAAACCTAGATCTCTTCCGAGGAGACGAATATACAATCCGAAGATAAATCTAAATCTCTTCCAAGGAGAGGAATATACGATCCGAGGATAAATCTAGATGACTTCCGAGGAGACGAATATACGATCCGACGTTAACTTAAGAATACTCCATTTAATGATTTAGAACTTTATACACCATGCTTAATGAAATTATATAACAAAAAATAATGGTAGCAAATGTTTATTTTAATTTAGAGAGAATGAATCATTATGTAACAGAACACTCTTCATGCTCCAAATAAAATGGAGAATCCTCACAAATAAAGGGGAGTTTTAGTCCGTCTTCTCCTGTATAGTACGTGTAGTTTCTCTCAGTCACCCAGCGCCACCTGCCGTCGTTATGATAAGTCAAAAGGAGGCCAAAGATTGGGTCAACTGCTGTCTCGCCCTCATCGTTAGGATTCCAGTTCTGATACGTCACTGGTGTCCAATTATCAAAAATGAGTCTTTCATTGTCGTCAAATGTCAAAACATTGGCACGAAATGCAAATGAACCGTTGAGATCAACTTCTGCAGAAAAGGACAAGAAAAAATTATATCATCCTCAAATTTGAAACACCGCCGATACAATATGAGTTGTTGTTTTACATCCTGCATGCTCTAAAAAAATATATAATTTGATCTGCTGTATCCAAATTCAATTGACATTTGAAGGGAATGCATTCTCCTTTTTGCGTCGTGGTATATGTAACAATAGAATATTTTCTAACGAGCATGAGCAAACTTAGACCAAATTTCATTTCAATTTGAATAACAAAGAAATATAATGTTTATGGGTGAAATTAGAAATAAAAAAAATTGATACACTGCAGAAATATATTTTCCAGATTTAATATGCAGTTTTTTTTATTTAAATTTTAAAATCAGATTTGTAGAAAGCTAAAAAAAAAAATCTAAATAACTTTTTATCAAAGGTGTTTAAATATAATCTACATAATTTTTGATTAACGAGTATCAATTTTTTAATTAATTGCATTGTTGAGAAATTTGACAAAAATATTTTTGTTATTGTATGCATTTGATAAATATGAAAGCATGTTATGAATGAATTGTTTACGTATATACCCAGGTGTATGGGGTTTACGTCTTAAATCCTCCCAAGAAACAACAGCATGCAATAACAAGATGTGTTTGTAAAACACTGATGCCCCCGTATGGCAACATTGTGAAGGTTAAGGTTTCTCAAATGCAGGTAAAATATGTTGGTACATAAACTAAGGCCTTTCCAAAAAAAAATACAAATATGACTTAGAAAACTTAGACACCACCTGTTCAAAGGTTACGGCCAAGGTAAGCGTCTTTAAAGGTAGGACAAACTCCGATTTGTTTGTAAAAAGTAGGTCAAAAAACCAAGGTCAAAGTCAAAGTGTTAAAAGTGTTGTTATCAAATAAAAGTTCTTCTAACAATGACTACATAAGTGAAGTTTGAAAGACCTAAACCTTACAATTCAAAAGTTATGGTCAGTTAAAGTTTTCTTGTAAATGCGTAATGTCTAAGGTCAAAATGTTTAAATTGTTGGTTTCAATAGAAAGCTCTTGTCACAAAGATGTGATATTTAATGTGTATTCATACCGTAAAGTGGCAAATTTAGATGTATTGGGCTTTGAAAAAAATAAACTTAGTAGTTAATTCCTAGATCAAGCTAGATGGTCATTTTTTTCTACATTTCACAATTTTGTGACTCTTACACCTTCCATCTTCTTAAATTAAAAAGAAATCTCTAGGGCAGAAGTACAAAAAATATGAAAAAATGTAATTATTTGGCGTTTTTCGAACATTTTCCCAAAGGGTTCAATTATAAAATTTAACAACATTTGAGATGAACCCCATTGAAATCGGAAAAAAAAATTTTTACACTGTCCTAAAACAATATATCTTTCCAAATAAGCTGATATGCAGTTTTTTTTACGTCTAAAAAAGTCAGGACTAAATATAGACCAGTCTCAAATTCAGCAAGGTAGTGTTGTTGCACAAAAATGGTCATCTCAAAAACTTTTTATCAAATTTCAAAATAGCCATCCTAGATAAAAATTTTTGAGTACTATGAAGGTATCATGCTTTTTTTAATTTATTGATTCTTACTGGAGAGAAATTTGACTTAAACGGCATTTTTGTTATTGTATGCACTCAAATAAATATCAAAGCAGTGTGTATGAAGATGTGCCACTGTCCATAGTATGTCCCCTCCTCTTCCTGGTTTACGTCCTACCACTCAGGAGAATCAATCAGTATGACATTAGCCGTCATGGATTTGCAAATACCCAATTGTACAACCGTCTGAGTGTTAAAAACAATGTCAGGCGTACGGAACAAATCAAGGTTTGAAGAGTGTTAGCGAGTGTCCGAACCTGGATGGCTGTAAACAAATCAAACTGTTGATGCAAAAACCGAGATAATGGTGATTGGCGCTTAACCAGAACCGTGTTAAAAATTCATACAAATTGGTGAAAATAGTGACATCCAATCTTCTGTTATAAAGGTTAATGCCACCTTATCAATGGAAACGCAAGTCAAGTCCATTTGATATATTTCAAAAAGTCTCCAAGGTGAAAAAACAAAGGTCAAATGCAACAGTCGTAATATCGACTATACAATGCCCTTCTGCTTTTCGAACCATGCACTGATTACAAGTGGCTCAGAACAATGCTGTGGCGTTGTCTCACAAAAACCTAAGACAACATATCACGCCAGTACTTCAACAACTGCATGGCTGCCTTTCAAACAACGTGTCGTGTTTAAAGTGCTGAAAATGCACAAGTCTCTAACATATATGAGAGAGTTATGCCCTACTTATCAGCCACAAAGGAAAGTCATTCTGACAAATGGAAAGTAATAGTAAAGAAATCATCGAACAAATATGGTGCAAGACATAAGCACATTAGGATGCACAACTGTGGAACAATGCCGTGAAAGTGGCAAATTTAGATGCACATGGGCTTTGAAAAAAAAAAACACTCTTGTTCAACGTGAATATGCTATGAATTTTTTCAGCATTTCACGCATTACCCTCTCGTATATCAACTTCAGAATACTTTCCTGTGTACATAACAGTTTTTATTTTCATTTTATTTTGCCTTGCTACGTAAAAAAATCTTAAATTTTAAGGTCCCTTTGTTTTATCGATTATTTACTTTCCATAACAGATTTATAGGTTTTATTAATTCATATTGTTTTTAAATATTAGCAAAACCATTGTACAGCGCATAGAAATTATATGTGATTTTGCGCTTTATAAATTAATAAAATAATAATAATAATAATATAACAATAAACAATTTTCAAAATCCCTAGGGAAGAAATAATTAGACTCAGTCTCGTGAAAATATGATATATTTCGCATCTGTAAAATGTACGGTGAAAAATCTAAACAATGCAATTTTCATTTTGCCTTACATACCTTTGCATTAGGAATGTGTTTACATATATACAGGTAACCCCCGCTTGAAAAGTGGGAGGGTATATAGTAATCGGTATTTCCGTCCGTCCGTCCTTCTGTTGCGCTTTGAGGTACCCATCTCTTATCCGCAACTCCTCTCATACCGCTTAAGGAAATTTAATGAAACTTTCACAGATTTTTAATTACATATTGCTATTGTGCACCTCCTATTTTACTTTTTGATCTGACATATATTTTTGATTTTCCAGAGCGAAACATGGACACTGCCATTATATTCATATGGGAGGCGGGGGGTATCATTTAGTGAGCTCATTGCTCACAGTACCTCTAGTTAACATTTTACACCATGCTTGATGAAATATGCACAATTTGGAAAGAGAAGAAATGAATTAAGAATATTGTCCTTACTTTGCAAGCATAGTATTTTTACCTAATATAAAATGTATTAACTTGGTTTTTTTTTACAACATCAAGATTACATGTATTGTTAAAAACAATTATTGTTATTTTGTATAACAAACGTTCAAAGTGTCTATCAATCTATGCCCTTTTACAGATCAAGTGAGTATAAGCTTATAAATATATTATCATTTATAAAATTTAAAAAATTATTTAAAAAACCAGATTATTATATCTGAAGCTTTCTTGCACAATGGGATTTATATATGTGTTTCTGATGAATCAATTTAAAAGAAATGCCT